ATATAATCAGTGTCAGTACCATATCGGAGATATCTGATAATGCTCTTTAACTAATATTTTTGATTTTCCTCGATATTAATAATACAAATGTCACATTTTAATTATTTACTTTCTGACAAAAAAAAAAAAAAAGAATGCATGACTACTCGATGCTGCAAAGGGTACTAGTCTTTACTTTAAAAATGATATAGTAAAAAAAAAATATTGTTTAGGACTTAGGCCTTCCTCTCCAACCATGCAGAGGAGCTTCTAGACATTTCAAGTAAAGTTGTCTGTAATTCTATATGCACCTGATGTCAATGGCATCTGACAAGAGGAGGTTAGATCCCTTAACACAACAGTAAAAAACAAAAATTGCTTCATCATGTGCTTTAGCTTGTTTCTGCCACGCTGTTTTAAGACATTCTTCCAGTGCTGATGCTTCGAAAAATCCCCGGTAAAACGTTTTCAAACAGCTGACATCCTGGGCTTTATGACCCAGAAGCACTAAATTCTCTGCCTTCACTTCTGCTCTCCATCTCAGCTGCTTTCTCGAGCAACTTTTAACATCTCTGTGCCTGCATGATTTCCAGGCACTATAAGGCCGTCTAGCTTGCAGCTGCTGTTTCTCATTCTCATTTCTCATTCTTGCCTTGATCTAGTTCCTCTACACTTCTAGCTGAAAGAGAAGTGATTCTCATCATCATGTGAACATATATACAGCAGCCCTAAAAAAAGTGTCCAGACACTTTTTGGACACACAAGTCAAACTTACATTTTGTTGCAATTCATTAAACGGTGTTAAGATGATATTTAGTGGATGCACAAGATAAAACTGTTTAAGGAAGCACCTTGATCCAAAACACTGACTATCTATAAGACAATGAAATCACTATATGTACACAGACCACCTTGAATAATTATAGGTGCAACAAATTATGATTATGTTCCTATAGTTCTGGAACTGTATTGCATTTGCACCACCTGACTTCTCAATTTTATTCAAATGACCAAATTTGTCATTTAAATCTTGCCATTTGTTTGGGTTGATGGTGATGGTCAAGCACAATTACGACTTCTTTACATGTGTATTCCAAGTTACCAACTGGTTTCACCCAACACACCATAAAGTGAACAACAGTGAAGGCCGAACTTGATTTAAGGAGCTTTGATTAGAGGTATTGTCACCAGGCTTATGGCACTCCTGGCTTGTCTTTAGGCCATCTGTTGTCTCTATGATGAAAGACTACAGCCAAGCAGTTGAAAGGGTGCTCAGAAGCCTATTTTCTACCTTCGCCAGCCACGCTTGGGTGTGTTCAGCATTAGAGAGATGCAATAACAATAATCAATTCATAATAAAGATTGAATTATAGTTACTGTCATTTTATGGCACAAAGAAATGTGCACATAAAATTATCTGTGTAATCTCTTTAAGAAATAAGCTGCCACTAACTATTGAACTAAAATGAACAGTTTGTTCTAGTGCTCCAACTCAATAGACAAAGAGGTATATATGGGTTTGTTAATGCGTTTCAGTCCTCCTGGGCAGTTCGTATTTACAAACGTATATTTGTACATTGTACATAGTATGCTTTATTAGTAATGTGTATACTGAGTTTGTTCTTTTAATATCAATTAAGCCACGCTAAGCATTTTCTTTATAATGGTTTTCTAAGGGGAAAACCTTTATGTAAAAATCTTGTCTTGCTACTTGGATTAGAGTGCCATTGTCTTAGTAGTAGATAGTGTTTATGGCAAGAATTATATGAGAAAATCGTTTTCTCCTGGTCGTTGTTTTAGAACATTAAAGGGATAGTTCACCCCAAAATGAAAATTCTGTCATTAATTACTCACCCTCATGTCGTTCCAAACCTGTAAGACCTTCGTTCATCTTCGTAACACAAATTAAGATATTTTTGATGAAATCCGAGAGCTTTCTGACCCTGCATAGACAGCAACACAACTGAAACATTCAAGGCTCAGAAAGATAGTAAGGACATCGTTAAAATAGTCCATGTGACATCAGTGGTTTAACAGCAATTTTATGAAGCTATTAGGGTTGTGACGGTGAGGAAATTTTCCCACCGGTTAATCGACGTGTGACAACACCGGTAATACTGGTATCACCGCGGGGGCGGGGCGTTCTCTCCTTTCCTAGCTTTCCTTCGCTTTTAAATAGCTTGTAAAAGCGGTGTGCCCATTTTACTTTCACTTTCAAATAGCGGCAATT